ACACACACACACACACACACGTGAAAACAAATATACATTGAAATTTTAAATATTAAAATATTTCATGATCAATCATTTAAAAATAGGTTTCCAATACCAGATTTAAGACCCTTGCACGACATGAATCGGGCACCATGGTGGAAGAGATCGGTGAGAACGGATTATATGATTTTAAAAATGGCAGATGCACAAATTCATTCTCGGCCGCATTCGATTTTTTCAAAGAATCGGCCGCATTCTGTGAGAAAGCATTTCGAAATCCAATTCAGGAAGTTGCTGCTTTCCTACGCGGAAACGGAGACAGACGTGCCGTTGAATATAGGCAAAATTACAACGCATGAAAGAAATAATGCGTCGTGTCAACAAGTTAACGAAGGATTTGATTGGGCTAGAATAGTTATTACAATCTATCCGGAACGTTTGAGCGACCAGCTGGAAGATAGCTCTGAAGGAGAGCTAGATTCTAGTTTCGATGAAACTCTAGAAAATACGCCTAAACATCAGCCGTCTCCGTTCAGCTCAAAGCGTGTTATTCATGAATCTGATACGCCTCATTCCAAACCCTCTACACAAGGCGATAAGGATGATTCAGAACAAAGGTTTGTCCGATATAGTATTTCCGAATTTATCAAAAAGTAGTATCTAACATCTGTGAATTTAACAGGGAGGGCGAGGAGTTGATCATACCAGGAAATCGGGAAGAAATGTTCGAGTTCATGGACGAAGGCATTCGTAGTTCCAGAATACAATTAGAGATTAACTTCCCGTGTGTTTCCGTCCAAATACCATCTAAACATCTGTACGAATTGCTATACAATAGATTCAACACTGATCTTTTTTTATGGAAACCATCAGCACCAAGACCAAAGTACGGCACGCACATGGAAAATCACATAGGTCTCGATTTGGCATCCACTTTGTTACAGGAATCCATTTATCCTAGGTAATTAATATTAAAAGCAGATGATATCATTCTCGTATATTATCGATTGAAAGGATGTACGATTTTCTGTTTCAAGATTTAGCACGTGTAAAAGTAGAATACAGTATGATTCCGATTCGGACTCCGAGGAGGACGGTATATTTCATTCTGCGGCTGACAAAAGTTACAAGCAGCATCAGAACAAGATATCAAAGAATGGTCAGAGTAATCTGGCACTAATTTTGAATATAGATCAAGGTCTCCTCTGCATGTATACTCCCGTTCGCGATTCAATGCGCAACGTCATCCCCGGTCAACAGGGCGAGCTAATAATTCGATTGGAAGACGCGACGATATTCTCGGTAACCGCGTACAAAGGGAATTCGAATCTGGGTTACATTTGTGCCATGATAAAAGAAATGTCTTTGGATCATTGTGGATTAATGACGACTCCTTCGCAACCACCTACACTGAGATCTATTAATAGCGACATTCCGCAACATTGTCAAAACACTATATATAAAAGCGGGTTAAGCGAGAGTGTAATGGGAGCAAACAACAACGATGATATGGTGATACTCGCTATTAGGATACAGGCTGCTCATCAAACACACCGTATTAAAGTTCGTTCTATTTTTGTTCAACTTTTCACTGAAACGATTACTTATATTATAATCGATTGGATAATCATAGATTATTTTGAGATAGACTTTCAGAGTGGCGGCAGGCATAACAAATGCTACACTGATGCATAGAATGTGTAACACTGGTACATCGTGGTTCACACAGTTAACAGATTGCTTGGACGTAGCCGATCATCCTGTTGCCGGATACTCACCGCCAGGGATATTAACGGAATTACATTTGCACCTGTGGAATTGCGCGGTTGATTACAGGTTCCTATTTTCTTATTTACTTGGACATAGCGTTTACTAAGCATAGCAACCTAACGAGAAATGTATATGATTTTAGGCCAGTTCATCTGCCGTTAAGATCAATGATAACTTTTGGGAATTTCAGTGTTTCCAGCAATATTGCTGCTCATACGAATACTTCAACATTGCGTTTTATAGCAGAAGACATTGCATTGTTCATATCTAATAAATTAGGTAGAAATGTGGATCTTCGGCGAGATTATGTGTGCGTAATGGACGTAGGGTTGTTCGAATTGTCACTGAGATTAAACGACAAGATGTGCGGCGGTGCACCTAGGATAGATTTAAGAGCAAGCAACAACGTGTTGCACGTTCGGACTTGTTCGGACTCTGGACGAGCTCTTATCCAGTTGTTAATGTACTTTGTCAATGACGGAGATCTTTTGCCGAATATGGAAACCGTCGAGATTACTACGATAGCTCGTTCGTCTGGCGAAGAAGAAAGCCTTCTAGGCGATGAATGTATCAACACTCTGAGTAAGAGCCAAGTAGAACGCGTTAATAATTTGATGAAAGAAGCGATGGAAGAAACGGTAAAAGGTAATTAAGTTGTACAAGGGGAAATAAGTTGGATACATATTATTTGATAACACGTTATGTTATAGGAACATCGGTGAATACAGAAAGCGACATGTCTATAACTGAAAATCAGGTGGAAGTGTTCTTCTTCCCTGACGAATCTCAACCTACTTCACAGGTATGCAGAAGTCCTGAGAGATACAGCAAAGTCGAGTTTGGTGTAGAAACTGAAGATTTGAACGACGAGTTTTGCATATTGGGCGAGGAAGCTGGTACAGGAATTATTCCCAGACACGGTGTACCAGAAGTTCGTTGGCTTTGTCAGGAATCTCTAAGAATAATAGACAATCACTTTTCGGTTCCACTCGGCAAAACTGATCTGCTTAAGGCTCCAAGACATTTCCCATCTCCGGTTTTAAGATACACTCTTTGCGAAATGAGCTTGATCTGGCACATGTACGGTGGGAAGGATTTCGAAGTTTCTCAACCACCAAGCAAGAAACAGGTCATTATCAATGACAACATGAATCGCCCTAATACGGCACCTCAAGATAGGTACGTATTCAAAAGTCATCCAAATATTTACGCGAATGATTGACATGGTCATTTACGCTTGTAGAATCAGATCACCGTGGTGGGATGGCGTAGCTTTCAATAAATGTAACCCGAACGAAATACATTTCGGGAGTGCGCCAAATTCACCACGTGGGAAGTGTAAAGAAACAACCGACTGGCAAACAATGGGAGGTCCTGGTCGCCGTCACGACATCTTAATGGAACTTCAGTTGAACAAAGTACGCTTTCAGCACGAGGTTTATCCAGAAAATACAGCGGAAGCAGCGAGGCAAATATTGCTGGTAAATGAGATAGAGATCAGAGACAGGTTGGCATCCTCGCACATCAACAAGTTCCTGTACCAATATAGCAGCGAGGCAAGACCGAAACAGTCTCACGCGAACATGTTTGCCATGAAAGCGGTCCACGTCAGACCGGATCCAAGATTAAGTGCTCAAGAGTGTTGTTTAAAGCTCAGCCTACTGCCGTTGCGATTAAATATCGACCAGGATAGCCTATTGTTTTTGATAGAATTCTTCAACGAATTGGGTAGCGGTTCGAAGCAAGCTCAAGAGAGTTTCAGCGCGTCCAATAATACGCAGTCCTCCTCGGTGTCGAAACAAGGAACGCCGACGCATCACCCACCGGTTATGAGTGTAAACGACTCAGCGCCTAATGCTCCAACGTCAACGAATACGTCGCAAAGCGACAGCATAGATCCGAATTTATTGCTACTTTTGGAGGATGAGTTAATGATCAAGGAGAACAATGTGAAAGTGAAGCCGACGCACGAAGTTCACGATGATTGTCAACCGATATATTTTAGGTAATATCGCTATTAATATAAATTCCTTTTCACGTACGTTGATGTATGATGTATGATGTTCAAAATTTGTTTCATTTGTTTTGTTCTCTGTGCTAGGAGCGTGATATTTTCCCCTGAGGTTTTCGTTAGATTAGACTATCACGGCAAGCGTGTGGACCTAACTCATGGGCCGTTAGCAGGACTTCTGATGGGTCTGGCGCAGTTGAATTGCTCCGAATTAAGACTGAAAAGACTAACGCATCGACACGGGCTTCTAGGCTTCGATAAATTAATGACGTTTTTATTCTCCGAGTGGTTGCAAGACATAAAGAAAAATCAACTTCCAAGTTTACTTGGCGGTGTCGGCCCCATGCATTCGTTAGTACAATTGTGTAAGTCAGTTGTGTGCTCTCGTTCCTCTCTGTACCGTAAAAGTAAGTAAAATTCACGCGTGTAAATGTAAATGTATCTGTTCTGCTACAGTTCAAGGGATAAGGGATTTGTTCTGGTTGCCTATCGAGCAGTACCAAAAGGATGGCAGGATAATTAGAGGATTGCAACGAGGTGCGAACAGTTTCACGACGTCCACCGCTATGGCAGCGTTGGAATTGACTTCTAGGTTGATACACGCTATACAGAGTACAGCTGAGACGGCTTATGACATGGTCAGTCCTGGCCCCAGCGTGAGACGCAAGCACAAGGGACAGAAAGGACGCCGGAAAAGATACAATCAACCATTGGACATTCGAGAAGGAGTGGCTAACGCGTACATGCTAGTAAAAGAGGTAATTTATCAAATGTGTTGTACACATTGGAGTGTAAGATTGCTAATTTTCAAACGTAATATGTCTCAGGGTTTGGGAGAAACGGCGAATCAATTGGTTCGTGTGGCCAGCGAGGAGCACGAACAAAAAGGAGTCTCTGGTGCTGTAGGGGGTGTGTTACGACAAATACCACCGACAGTCGTGAAGCCAATTATTTTGGCTACAGAAGCGACTAGCAATGTTTTAGGTGGTATGCAATCGCAATTAGTACCGGATGCCAGACGAGAGGCAGCTCAGAAGTGGCGGCAAGACTCGAATGACGTGAATTAAAATTGCTGCTCCGTGAGCTCTACGATGTGAGGTCCGATTCGATGTTTTCGATCGACCTTCGTGTAATGAAATGAGAATCCATGACGCAGATATGCAAATAATATTACGATAGGGGGAAAAAATATAATTGAGCTTATTTTACTGGGATGAAACACGAGTGAAAGTAAATTGATCCGATGACGTCGTAACGTAATGCATTAACGTTACGAAAAATGATTTTTTTTTTTTTTTTGACTTGACGCGTAAATCGCATAAATTTTCTGAAAGGGCGCAACGTCACTCTCGAATGGTATAACATATTCGTGTATGTTGTATGTTTCAGTTTCATTGATCTTGCTACATATTACAGAAAGATCGATCCGATTTCTTATATTTATAGTTTATAAACAAAATCTATATACCATCGTGAACATCGTCTTCATAGCTTGTACGTATTTTTGTTCTAATAACGCGTATGTTTTATACCAATGATATGTATGTGAACATTTTTATTAATAAAATTCTGACGCTTATTATTGCATGCCACTTTTTGCGATCAATTTAATTTGCATTTATTAGAATATGAATTCTAAACGTGCACATCTAATTGAGAATTAACAGCAAATACGACACTAATTTCAAAACAAAAAATCGATACTTCGTGGATTGCCTATAATTTACGAAAGTACGATATCCCTTAAAATTTCGGTAATTGGAATGTTGGAATTTTTTTCTTTAATTTGCAGAAAAGTTAAATACCACGAGAACAAGTGCATCGATAGAACAGAATTTGAAAATCTTTTATATGTGTATTTTATAGGTCAACTGGAACGTCAAAAGAAATCTTAGAAACTCATTTAGAAGATAAAATCAAGTTCGTAAATTAATCCTCTTAATTAGTCTTTTCGCAAATGAAAATTACTTCGTTTCATGGACATTCAAATACTAGCGCCGTATAGCGGTGAAATTAATTGCTGCCGCCATCTATCGGATGCAAAATTGCACAAGCATCGCAATTGCATCGATAAATAAGATTACTTCTTTCAGAAATAGAAGATTTGGGCAGACTTCGATAGATGGCAGCATATAGCTGTTTTTTCACTTCATAGAGAAGGATAGCAACAGCAGTTAGTTTCACTATTTCGCCGTTACGCGGCTTTAGTATTTTAGTGCCCATAATCGAATAAATTTTCAGTTACAAAAAGAGCTACTTGAGAAGATTAATTTACAAACTTTTGCAGTTGCATCTCTCCTAAATTTTCTTTCTTTATACCATTGAACCTACGTTGTGTATGTATAAAGAGTTACAAATTCCACTCGATATATCGAAGCATTCTTTTAAATCGCATTTAATCTCTCGCACGCTGCATTTGAAATTTGAAATTTGGCACAAAGTTACTCGTGAATATAGTTGAAAGTGTGCGCAGAAGTTAGACTCAGGTTTATATATATTCAACATAATAATATCTTGAGAGAAATATCTTGAGAGAAATGAAATATTTTGTCCCATAAACAAAACGCAAATGTTACAATTATATTTATTTCTTATTCGTATTACAAAGAAGCAATTTATTTCCAGTGTGAGTATTGTGTGATATTTGTAACTGTATGCATGAAAGCTTAAAAGTTTTTTTTTTTAACAAGAGAATATTCCGTAAAACGTGCGTATGCATGTAATCCAAACAAAAACTGAATAAAAGAAATAAATCGTAGTATATTATTGTTAAATGTTAGCAGCTTTCGGCCTTTAATACGTACCTTTCTTTTCAGGGTTCAACAAATGAAGACACAAACTCCTATTGGTAAATTGCTAATTTAATAGCTTTTGGCTATTTCATTAACAAGC